TGGTACACATTTTTGTCTAAGGGCCAGTTGAAGCCCACCTCCAAGTGCAGAATTTTATCGCCGTGTTGAAGACCCATTGGTGGCCTTGCACTGTTTTCTGCTCTTTGACCATTTCCCAATTTCCATTCTCAATTCTATTCATAATAACCTACAAACCTGTTGGTCTTTCTTGGCAAAAATTCACACTGAATATCTGCCTTTTTCACAATTTGAAATAATAACTCTAGCTGCAAAACATTAATAAAATGCTCCGCTGGGGCGCAGCTTGATACAACCACAGAGGTCGAACCCTGAACAGTTGGGGCAAGTATGGACACAACATTCAAGCTTGATACAGCACTGAATTTGGATTGTGATTAAATATTTGACACAGCATAGGTTTCTGACACAGAATGAATGTGGTCTAAGAACTTAAAAATTTTTAATTTACCTATTCAAACCATATCATTATTATTTGCTTTTATATATAAATCAGAAATAACCAATTTAAAATGGAAAATTTTAAAGAAAAAAAAAATCCCTCCACTAAATTTTTTGAACCCCCTTATGATTCATCACCCCCAAACTCAATCCCAGCCTTCCCTTTGTGGTATGGTACCTTGCAGTACAATTTCAGAGAGATCCATACACTTGAACACAAGTTATTGTCTGGAAACTAGAAAAATGTTTGTTTTTAGGCCCTTTTTGGCCCCAAATTCCTAAACGTTTAGAGCAATTACCCCCAAACTCAAACCCAGCTTTCCTTTTGTGATATGGAACCTTGTAGTACAATTTCATAAAGATCCATACACTTACACACAAGTTATTGTCCTGAAACTAGAAAAATGCTTGTTTTTTGCCCCTTTTTGGCCCCTAATTCCTAAAATTTTGAGGCAATTACCCCCAAACTCAATCCCAGCCTTCCCTTTGTGGTATATATGGTACCTTGCAGTACAATTTCAGAGAGATCCATACACTTGAACACAAGATATTGTCTGGAAACTAGAAAAATGCTTGTTTTTAGGCCCCTTTTTGGCCCCAAATTCCTAAACGTTAAGGGCAATTACCCCCAAACTCAAACCCAGCTTTCCTTTTGTGATATGGAACCTTGTAGTACAATTTCATAAAGATCCATACACCTACACACAAGTTATTGTCCTGAAACTAGAAAAATGCTTGTTTTTTGCCCCTTTTTGGCCCCTAATTCCTAAAATTTTGAGGCAATTACCCCCAAAATCAATCCCAGCATTCCCTTTGTGGTATGGTACCTTGCAGTACAATTTCAGAGAGAGATCCATACACTTGAACACAAGTTATTGTCTGGAAACTAGAAAAATGCTATTTTTGGCCCCTTTTTGGCCCCTTATTCCTAAACGTTTTGGGCATTTACCCCCAAACTCAATTCCAGCTTTCCCTTTGTGATATGGAACCTTGTAGTACAATTTCAGAAAAATCCATATACTTACACATTCATGCCATGTTTCGTTTCATTCCATTCACTGGTTCTCTAAAAGAAGACATTTGCATGTATTTCCCATAGGGTCCTATGTTAGACTAAGTCCCCCCCCTGGCGGCAATCTTGGATGATGGATCCGCTACAAAGTAACAACACTTGGTCAGCACCTCATAAGGAACATTCATGCCATGTTTGGTTTCATTCCATTCAGTGGTTCTCTAGAAGAAGTTCAAAATGTAAAAAGTTAACGACGACGACGGACGACGGACGCCAAGTGATGAGAAAAGCTCACTTGGCCCTTCGGGCCAGGTGAGCTAAAAAAGGATATTTCATGAGGTAAACAATTTTTGAAACTGGAATATTGATGAAATTTGGGTCAGTGTGGTCACCTTGCCAACATTTTGTAGTTTGTCAAATCATTGGACACTGGTTTCATGTTTTACTTTTAATTGTTGTGGTCAGAAATCATAACTTAAGATGATTGTGTCTGCAGGAAATGATCATTTTAAAGATCTATATTTCAATGATGTTCTCAAAACAATTAACATTTAGGCAAAAAAGACTTACAGTGTATGTTCACTGGTGTTAATATGTCTTTTGATTAAGCTAAGCCATTTCAATTGATATTTTATAGTGTGTCTTTCTATGTTGTGATGTTACACTATTGTTTCAGATAAGGGTTTGGTACCATTAAAACGTTTAAACCCGCTGCAATTGTTTGCACCTGTCCTAAGTCAGGAATCTGATGTTCAGTAGTTGTCGTTTGTTGATGTGGTTCATAAGTGTTTCTTGTTTCTCGTTTTTTATATAGATTAGACCGTTGGTTTTCCTGTTTGAATGGTTTTACACTAGTAATTTTTGGGGCCCTTTATAACTTGCTGTTCGGTGTGAGCCAAAATTTGGGTCAGTGTGGTCACCTTGCCAACATTTTGTAGTTTGTCAAATCATTGGACACTCGTTTCATGTTTTACTTTTAATTATTGTGGTCAGAAATCATAACTTAAGATGATTGTGTCTGCAGGAAATGATCATTTTAAAGATCTATATTTCAATGATGTTCTCAAAACAATTAACATTTAGGCAAAAAAGACTTACAGTGTATGTTCACTGGTGTTAATATGTCTTTTGATTGAGCTAAGCCATTTCAATTGATACTTTATAGTGTGTCTTTCTATGTTGTGATGTTACACTATTGTTTCAGATAAGGGTGAAGGTTTGGTACCATTAAAATGTTTAAACCCGCTGCAATTGTTTGCACCTGTCCTAAGTCAGGAATCTGATGTTCAGTAGTTGTCGTTTGTTGATGTGGTTCATAAGTGTTTCTTGTTTCTCGTTTTTTATATAGATTAGACCGTTGGATTTCCTGTTTGAATGGTTTTACACTAGTAATTTTTGGGGCCCTTTATAGCTTGCTGTTCGGTGTGAGCCAAGGCTCCGTGTTGAAGACCTTACTTTGACATGTCATGGTTTACTTTTATAAATTTTGACTTGGATGGAGAGTTGTCTCATTGGCACTCATACCACATCTTCTTATATCTATTTACAAACTGAAAAAAAAACAGAAATTTCATGATGTGAATAAATTTTGAAAAAAAGGAATATTCATAAAATTTTTGAAAATGGAATATGTATGAAATTTGTTAATTTAATCAAAGAAATATTAAACATACTTCCTGTTTCTTCAGGTTGGATTAAACCATCTGCCATCATGTAATCAGGACCTTCAGGCGAAAAAGATTTACCTAAAATAAATTTAATGATGGAAACATTAAACATACTTGCTGTCACTTCAGCGTGAATAAATCCATCTGCCATCACATAACCATGACCTTCAGGTGCACAAGGTTTACCTAAAATGAATACAAATCATTCTCAAAACTAAAATTAATGTGATGAAAAAGGTTGATTTAAAATGAAATCAAAATGAATTTTGTTTGAAATGGCTATTAACTAAACAAAAATTATTGTCTGATCAATGAAACATAAAAACTCAGGTGTCAGACCATTAACAAGACCAATACCATGTCTGGACCTGAGTGTCTACATGCAATTGATTGAAGTTATCTGTTACTTATGCATACTGTGAATTAATTTATTTTCATGGGTACCAATTTTCGTGGTTTAAGGAAAACTCGCATTTTCGTTGATATTTTATTTCGTGGTTTTGTCAAAGTCTGCAATCATTCCTATAGAATATTTGTAGTTCGTTGAACATAGAAATTCATGGTTGCCCTGTACCCACGAAATCCACGAAAATTGGTATCCCACGATCTTGAATGAATCAACAGTAACTGATTATACCCTTTCATTGAAGCCAAGAAAACTTTTACAATGTTCCTTGTACAAAGAGTATTGTAAAATGTGTTAGTAAAGTCATTCCCTTTGATAGATTGCCAAGAAAAATTCTCACCATTGGCGAACTAAATCATTTTTCTTCATGACTACATTTATGTATCTTTTCATCAACAATGAGTTCATGTTCCATATTTACTGATTAAAAAAAAACAAGGCTATATTTTATGAAAAACATGAATGTGTCCATAGTACACGGATGACCCACCCGCACTATCATTTTCTATGTTCAGTGGACCGTGAAATTGGGGTAAAAACTCTAATTTGGCACTAAAATTAGAAAGATCATATCATAGGGAACATATGTACTAAGTTTCAAGTTGATTGGACTTCAACTTCATCAAAAACTACCTTCACCAAAAACTTCAACCTGAAGCGGGACAGACGGATGAACGAACAAACAGACGGATGGATGAACGAAAGGATGAACGGATGAACGAATGGATGCACAGACCGAAAAACATAATACCCCTAAGTGAGGTATAACAAATAATATAATTATACTAAATTTGATATATTTGATTTTTTTTTAATTTTTGGTGTTTTAACGCCACTTTTAAGCACCGCTTTTGGGCTATTTCGTGGCGGCCAGTTTTTATTGGTGGAGGAAGCCAGAGTGCCCGGAGAAAACCACCGACCGTGGATAGGAAAACTGACAATCCTAGTCAATTAAGATTGGAGTCGAGTGTTTAGTTTCTTTTGTTACCTATTTTGACATCGGACTCAGACTTCTTTGAGTTTTACTGTGCATATTGGCATGGGTTTGTTAATTCTACATTGGCTAGAGGTATAGGAGGAGGGTTAAGATCTCACTAAACATGTTTCAAACCAGTGTAATTTTGCGCCTGTCCCAAGTCAGGAGCCTCCGGACTTTGTTAGTCTTGTACGGTTTTTAATTTTAATTCATTTTAATGTTTTATAGTTAAGTGTGACATCAATTTTCACGAACTGGTACACATTTTTGTCTAAGGGCCAGTTGAAGCCCACCTCCAAGTGCAGAATTTTATCGCCGTGTTGAAGACCCATTGGTGGCCTTGCACTGTTTTCTGCTCTTTGACCATTTCCCAATTTCCATTCTCAATTCTATTCATAATAACCTACAAACCTGTTGGTCTTTCTTGGCAAAAATTCACACTGAATATCTGCCTTTTTCACAATTTGAAATAATAACTCTAGCTGCAAAACATTAATAAAATGCTCCGCTGGGGCGCAGCTTGATACAACCACAGAGGTCGAACCCTGAACAGTTGGGGCAAGTATGGACACAACATTCAAGCTTGATACAGCACTGAATTTGGATTGTGATTAAATATTTGACACAGCATAGGTTTCTGACACAGAATGAATGTGGTCTAAGAACTTAAAAATTTTTAATTTACCTATTCAAACCATATCATTATTATTTGCTTTTATATATAAATCAGAAATAACCAATTTAAAATGGAAAATTTTAAAGAAAAAAAAAATCCCTCCACTAAATTTTTTGAACCCCCTTATGATTCATCACCCCCAAACTCAATCCCAGCCTTCCCTTTGTGGTATGGTACCTTGCAGTACAATTTCAGAGAGATCCATACACTTGAACACAAGTTATTGTCTGGAAACTAGAAAAATGTTTGTTTTTAGGCCCTTTTTGGCCCCAAATTCCTAAACGTTTAGAGCAATTACCCCCAAACTCAAACCCAGCTTTCCTTTTGTGATATGGAACCTTGTAGTACAATTTCATAAAGATCCATACACTTACACACAAGTTATTGTCCTGAAACTAGAAAAATGCTTGTTTTTTGCCCCTTTTTGGCCCCTAATTCCTAAAATTTTGAGGCAATTACCCCCAAACTCAATCCCAGCCTTCCCTTTGTGGTATATATGGTACCTTGCAGTACAATTTCAGCGAGATCCATACACTTGAACACAAGATATTGTCTGGAAACTAGAAAAATGCTTGTTTTTAGGCCCCTTTTTGGCCCCAAATTCCTAAACGTTAAGGGCAATTACCCCCAAACTCAAACCCAGCTTTCCTTTTGTGATATGGAACCTTGTAGTACAATTTCATAAAGATCCATACACCTACACACAAGTTATTGTCCTGAAACTAGAAAAATGCTTGTTTTTTGCCCCTTTTTGGCCCCTAATTCCTAAAATTTTGAGGCAATTACCCCCAAAATCAATCCCAGCATTCCCTTTGTGGTATGGTACCTTGCAGTACAATTTCAGAGAGAGATCCATACACTTGAACACAAGTTATTGTCTGGAAACTAGAAAAATGCTATTTTTGGCCCCTTTTTGGCCCCTTATTCCTAAACGTTTTGGGCATTTACCCCCAAACTCAATTCCAGCTTTCCCTTTGTGATATGGAACCTTGTAGTACAATTTCAGAAAAATCCATATACTTACACATTCATGCCATGTTTCGTTTCATTCCATTCACTGGTTCTCTAAAAGAAGACATTTGTATGTATTTCCCATAGGGTCCTATGTTAGACTAAGTCCCCCCCCTGGCGGCCATCTTGGATGATGGATCCGCTACAAAGTAACAACACTTGGTCAGCACCTCATAAGGAACATTCATGCCATGTTTGGTTTCATTCCATTCAGTGGTTCTCTAGAAGAAGTTCAAAATGTAAAAAGTTAACGACGACGACGGACGACGGACGCCAAGTGATGAGAAAAGCTCACTTGGCCCTTCGGGCCAGGTGAGCTAAAAAAGGATATTTCATGAGGTAAACAATTTTTGAAACTGGAATATTGATGAAATTTGGGTCAGTGTGGTCACCTTGCCAACATGTTGTAGTTTGTCAAATCATTGGACACTGGTTTCATGTTTTACTTTTAATTGTTGTGGTCAGAAATCATAACTTAAGATGATTGTGTCTGCAGGAAATGATCATTTTAAAGATCTATATTTCAATGATGTTCTCAAAACAATTAACATTTAGGCAAAAAAGACTTACAGTGTATGTTCACTGGTGTTAATATGTCTTTTGATTAAGCTAAGCCATTTCAATTGATATTTTATAGTGTGTCTTTCTATGTTGTGATGTTACACTATTGTTTCAGATAAGGGTTTGGTACCATTAAAACGTTTAAACCCGCTGCAATTGTTTGCACCTGTCCTAAGTCAGGAATCTGATGTTCAGTAGTTGTCGTTTGTTGATGTGGTTCATAAGTGTTTCTTGTTTCTCGTTTTTTATATAGATTAGACCGTTGGTTTTCCTGTTTGAATGGTTTTACACTAGTAATTTTTGGGGCCCTTTATAACTTGCTGTTCGGTGTGAGCCAAAATTTGGGTCAGTGTGGTCACCTTGCCAACATTTTGTAGTTTGTCAAATCATTGGACACTCGTTTCATGTTTTACTTTTAATTATTGTGGTCAGAAATCATAACTTAAGATGATTGTGTCTGCAGGAAATGATCATTTTAAAGATCTATATTTCAATGATGTTCTCAAAACAATTAACATTTAGGCAAAAAAGACTTACAGTGTATGTTCACTGGTGTTAATATGTCTTTTGATTGAGCTAAGCCATTTCAATTGATACTTTATAGTGTGTCTTTCTATGTTGTGATGTTACACTATTGTTTCAGATAAGGGTGAAGGTTTGGTACCATTAAAATGTTTAAACCCGCTGCAATTGTTTGCACCTGTCCTAAGTCAGGAATCTGATGTTCAGTAGTTGTCGTTTGTTGATGTGGTTCATAAGTGTTTCTTGTTTCTCGTTTTTTATATAGATTAGACCGTTGGTTTTCCTGTTTGAATGGTTTTACACTAGTAATTTTTGGGGCCCTTTATAGCTTGCTGTTCGGTGTGAGCCAAGGCTCCGTGTTGAAGACCTTACTTTGACATGTCATGGTTTACTTTTATAAATTTTGACTTGGATGGAGAGTTGTCTCATTGGCACTCATACCACATCTTCTTATATCTATTTACAAACTGAAAAAAAAACAGAAATTTCATGATGTGAATAAATTTTGAAAAAAAGGAATATTAATAAAATTTTTGAAAATGGAATATGTATGAAATTTGTTAATTTAATCAAAGAAATATTAAACATACTTCCTGTTTCTTCAGGTTGGATTAAACCATCTGCCATCATGTAATCAGGACCTTCAGGCGAAAAAGATTTACCTAAAATAAATTTAATGATGGAAACATTAAACATACTTGCTGTCACTTCAGCGTGAATAAATCCATCTGCCATCACATAACCATGACCTTCAGGTGCACAAGGTTTACCTAAAATGAATACAAATCATTCTCAAAACTAAAATTAATGTGATGAAAAAGGTTGATTTAAAATGAAATCAAAATGAATTTTGTTTGAAATGGCTATTAACTAAACAAAAATTATTGTCTGATCAATGAAACATAAAAACTCAGGTGTCAGACCATTAACAAGACCAATACCATGTCTGGACCTGAGTGTCTACATGCAATTGATTGAAGTTATCTGTTACTTATGCATACTGTGAATTAATTTATTTTCATGGGTACCAATTTTCGTGGTTTAAGGAAAACTCGCATTTTCGTTGATATTTTATTTCGTGGTTTTGTCAAAGTCTGCAATCATTCCTATAGAATATTTGTAGTTCGTTGAACATAGAAATTCATGGTTGCCCTGTACCCACGAAATCCACGAAAATTGGTATCCCACGATCTTGAATGAATCAACAGTAACTGATTATACCCTTTCATTGAAGCCAAGAAAACTTTTACAATGTTCCTTGTACAAAGAGTATTGTAAAATGTGTTAGTAAAGTCATTCCCTTTGATAGATTGCCAAGAAAAATTCTCACCATTGGCGAACTAAATCATTTTTCTTCATGACTACATTTATGTATCTTTTCATCAACAATGAGTTCATGTTCCATATTTACTGATTAAAAAAAAACAAGGCTATATTTTATGAAAAACATGAATGTGTCCATAGTACACGGATGACCCACCCGCACTATCATTTTCTATGTTCAGTGGACCGTGAAATTGGGGTAAAAACTCTAATTTGGCACTAAAATTAGAAAGATCATATCATAGGGAACATATGTACTAAGTTTCAAGTTGATTGGACTTCAACTTCATCAAAAACTACCTTCACCAAAAACTTCAACCTGAAGCGGGACAGACGGATGAACGAACAAACAGATGGATGGATGAACGAAAGGATGAACGGATGAACGAATGGATGCACAGACCGAAAAACATAATACCCCTAAGTGAGGTATAACAAATAATATAATTATACTAAATTTGATATATTTGATTTTTTTTTAATTTTTGGTGTTTTAACGCCACTTTTAAGCACCGCTTTTGGGCTATTTCGTGGCGGCCAGTTTTTATTGGTGGAGGAAGCCAGAGTGCCCGGAGAAAACCACCGACCGTGGATAGGAAAACTGACAATCCTAGTCAATTAAGATTGGAGTCGAGTGTTTAGTTTCTTTTGTTACCTATTTTGACATCGGACTCAGACTTCTTTGAGTTTTACTGTGCATATTGGCATGGGTTTGTTAATTCTACATTGGCTAGAGGTATAGGAGGAGGGTTAAGATCTCACTAAACATGTTTCAAACCAGTGTAATTTTGCGCCTGTCCCAAGTCAGGAGCCTCCGGACTTTGTTAGTCTTGTACGGTTTTTAATTTTAATTCATTTTAATGTTTTATAGTTAAGTGTGACATCAATTTTCACGAACTGGTACACATTTTTGTCTAGGGGCCAGTTGAAGCCCACCTCCAAGTGCAGAATTTTATCGCCGTGTTGAAGACCCATTGGTGGCCTTGCACTGTTTTCTGCTCTTTGACCATTTCCCAATTTCCATTCTCAATTCTATTCATAATAACCTACAAACCTGTTGGTCTTTCTTGGCAAAAATTCACACTGAATATCTGCCTTTTTCACAATTTGAAATAATAACTCTAGCTGCAAAACATTAATAAAATGCTCCGCTGGGGCGCAGCTTGATACGACCACAGAGGTCGAACCCTGAACAGTTGGGGCAAGTATGGACACAACATTCAAGCTTGATACAGCACTGAATTTGGATTGTGATTAAATATTTGACACAGCATAGGTTTCTGACACAGAATGAATGTGGTCTAAGAACTTAAAAATTTTTAATTTACCTATTCAAACCATATCATTATTATTTGCTTTTATATATAAATCAGAAATAACCAATTTAAAATGGAAAATTTTAAAGAAAAAAAAAATCCCTCCACTAAATTTTTTGAACCCCCTTATGATTCATCACCCCCAAACTCAATCCCAGCCTTCCCTTTGTGGTATGGTACCTTGCAGTACAATTTCAGAGAGATCCATACACTTGAACACAAGTTATTGTCTGGAAACTAGAAAAATGTTTGTTTTTAGGCCCTTTTTGGCCCCAAATTCCTAAACGTTTAGAGCAATTACCCCCAAACTCAAACCCAGCTTTCCTTTTGTGATATGGAACCTTGTAGTACAATTTCATAAAGATCCATACACTTACACACAACTTATTGTCCTGAAACTAGAAAAATGCTTGTTTTTTGCCCCTTTTTGGCCCCTAATTCCTAAAATTTTGAGGCAATTACCCCCAAACTCAATCCCAGCCTTCCCTTTGTGGTATATATGGTACCTTGCAGTACAATTTCAGAGAGATCCATACACTTGAACACAAGTTACTGTCTGGAAACTAGAAAAATGCTTGTTTTTAGGCCCCTTTTTGGCCCCAAATTCCTAAACGTTAAGGGCAATTACCCCCAAACTCAAACCCAGCTTTCCTTTTGTGATATGGAACCTTGTAGTACAATTTCATAAAGATCCATACACCTACACACAAGTTATTGTCCTGAAACTAGAAAAATGCTTGTTTTTTGCCCCTTTTTGGCCCCTAATTCCTAAAATTTTGAGGCAATTACCCCCAAAATCAATCCCAGCATTCCCTTTGTGGTATGGTACCTTGCAGTACAATTTCAGAGAGATCCATACACTTGAACACAAGTTATTGTCTGGAAACTAGAAAAATGCTATTTTTGGCCCCTTTTTGGCCCCTTATTCCTAAACGTTTTGGGCATTTACCCCCAAACTCAATTCCAGCTTTCCCTTTGTGATATGGAACCTTGTAGTACAATTTCAGAAAAAAATCCATATACTTACACACAAGTTATTATCATGAAACTAGAAAAATGCTTGTTTTTTGCCCCTTTTTTGGCCCCTAATTCCTAAAATTTTGCGACAATTACCACCAAAATCAATCCCAGCATTCCGTTTGTGATATGGAACCTTGTGGTACAATGTCAGAGAGATCCATACACTAACACACAAGTTATGTCTGGAAGTTACAAAAATGCTTATTTTTGGCCCCTTTTTGGCCCTTAATTCCTTAATTGTTGGTACCATAACCCCCAAAATCAATCCCAATCTTCCTTTTGTGGTATTGAACCTTATGGTAAAATTTCATGGAGATCCATTCACTTAAACTAAAGTTAGATTGCGAAAACCAATGTGTCTTCGGACGACGACAACGCCAACGTCATACCAATATACGACCAAAAAATTTTTAATTTTTGCGGTCGTATAAAAATAAAATGAATGGAGACATATCAAAAATTTGTTAGAAAGGTACTAGAAATTGATATAAATTTTTAATAGGAAAGAAATATACATTCAAACCACAATCTGTAAGTAAGAATTTTATGATAAAAAATGCTTATATCAGTATTCCTGATGTCGAGGACAAGAGACAATTTTCAGTACTCATCCACTTGCCCTTTGGTCTCTGCTACAAAGTTATCTCATTGGCAATCATGCAACAAGTACTCATTTTATTATTGTAAAATATTTGGTAGACAGTTGAAAAATTTGAATGAAATTAAATTTTAGTAAGCACAATGTGTGGGAGAGTACTTATACATCCCAGTTCCTTATATGAAATGACTCTTTACTCAATTGCAGAACAGGATATTTTTTACATTGTTTACTTAAACACAATTTTTGTGAAATTTTATACACTATATTTGGTTGTACAGCATATTTTTGTACCAATTAATATGAAATAAGGTATACCAATTTCCTGATGATAAAATTAACATAAATCTTTATCACAGTAATGAAAGCATATTTTTGTACCAATTAATATGAAATAAGGTATACCAATTTCCTGATGATAAAATTAACATAAATCTGTATCACAGTAATGAAATCTAATTAGGTCATAATCAGTCTATTAGATTAAAAAAATAAATGTTTACCCTTTCAAATATTTCCTGTTTTTCACTATCTTTCTTTCTCTTTATTCTATGGGTCAGTATGTGCATCATGATATTTGCATTGCTTTTGATCTCATCCAAATCACATTGTAATACTTGCGGCTGAACACTGTCCAATTTGAAATAATAACTCTAGCTGCAACACATTAAAAATAAAGTGAATGAAGACTTATCAAAAGTTTGTTAGAAAGGTACTAGAAATGGATATAAATTTCTACTAGGAAAGAAATATACTTTAAACCACAATCCGTAAGTAAGTATCTAACGATAAAAAATGCCTATATAAGTATTCCTGATGTAGAGGACAAGAGACAATTTTCAGTACTCATCCACTTGCCCTTTAGTCTCTGGTACAAAGTTATCTCATTGGCAATCATGCCACAAGTACTCATTTTATTATTGTAAAATATTAGGTAGACAGTTGACAAATTTGAATGAAATAAAATCTTAGTAAGTGCAATGTGTGGGAGATTCCTTATACATCCCAGTTCCTTATATGAAATGAATCTTAAAATTTTACTCAATTGCAGAACATGATATTTTTTTACATTGTTTACTTAAAATGCAATTTTTCTGAAATTTTATACACTATATTTGGTTGTACAGCAAATTTTGTACCTATTTATATGAAATAAGGTATACCAATTTCCTGATGGAAATTAACATAAATCTTTATCACAGTAATGAAATCTAATAAGGTCATAATCAGTCTATTAGATTAAAAAAATAAATGTTTACCCTTTCAAATATTTCCTGTTTTTCACTGTCTTTCTTTCTCTTTATTCTATGGGTCAGTATGTGCATCATGATATTTGCATTGCTTTTGTTCCATCCAAATCATATTGTAATACTTGTGGCTGAACACTGTCCAATTTGAAAAAATAACTCTGGCTGCAACACATTAAAAATAAAGTGAATGGAGACTTATCAAACGTTTGTTGGAAAGGTACTAGAAATGTATATAAATTTCTACTAGGAAAGAAATATACTTTCAAACCACAATCCGTAAGTAAGTATTTTACGATAAATAAAATGCTCCGCAGGGTGCAGCTTGATACGACCGCAGAGGTCGAACCCTGAGCAGTTGGGGCAAGTATGGACACAACATTCAAGCTTGATACAGCTTTGCATTTGGATTGTGATTAAATATTTGACACAGCATAGGTTTCTGATACAGAATGAATGTGGTCTAAGAACTTGAAAATTTTAAATTGGACATTCACCTATTATGGTCCAATATCCAAAATCTAAATACATGGTTAGATTCAGCATATCAAAGAACCCCAAGAATTCAATTTTTGATGAAATCAAACAAAGTTTAATTTTGGACCCTTTTGACCTCAATGTGGACAAAGTTGATAACGGGGCCCAAAAATCAAAAATCTAAATACATGGTTAGATTCAGCATATCAAAGAACCCCATATATTCAATTTTTGTTGAAATCAAACAAAGTTTAATTTTAGACCCCCATTTGGACCAACTTGAAAACTGGGCCCATAATAAAAAATCTAAATACATGTTTAGATTCAGCATATCAAAGAACCCTAAGAATTCAATTTTTGTTAAAATCAAACTAAGTTTAATTTTGGACCCTTTGGACCTTAATGTAGACCAATTTGAAAACGGAACCAAAAATTAAGAATCTAAATACACGGTTAGATTCGGCATATCAAAGAACCCCAATAATTCAATTTTTTGACGAAATCAAACAAAGTTTAATTTTAGACCCTTTGGAACTCAATGTGGACCAATTTAAAAACGGGGCCCAAAATCCACAAACTAAATACACGGTTAGATTCAGCATATTAAAGAACCCCAAGAATTCAAGAATAAAACCCCATTGAAATTGGTCAAGAAATAAGCAATTTATACGAAGTATCTTCTTTTGCACAATACTGTGCAATTAAATATTTCTTGCTATTGCGCAATACTGTACAATTGACAATTTCTTGCTATTGCGCAATATTGTGCTATTGGATATTTCTTGCTATTGCGCAATATTGTGCAATTGAAGATTTCTTGCTATTGCGCAATACTGTGCAATTGAAGATTTCTTGCTATTGTGCAATACTGTGCAATTGAAAATTTCTTGCTATTGCACAATACTTATTATATAATAATTTACACATCCTGTTTGGTGTGTATCTCCTACCATATCATTATTATTTGCTTTTAAATATAAATCAGAAATAACCAACTTAAAATGGAAAATTTTAAAAGAAAAAAAAAAGGAAAAAAAGAAAAAAATGAAAAAAAAAATCCCCCCCCAAATTTTTTGAACCCCCTTATGATTCATCCAAGCCTTCCCTTTGTGGTATGGTACCTTGCAGAACAATTTCAAAGGGATCCATACACTTGAACACAAGTTATTGTCTGGAAACTAGACAAATGTGTTTTTTGGCCCCTTTTTGGCCCAAAATTCCTAAACGTTTAGGGCAATTACCCCCAAACTCAAACCCAGCTTTCCCTTTGTGATATGGAACCTTGTAGTACAATTTCAGAAAGATCCATACACTTACACACAAGTTATTGTCCTGTAACTAGAAAAATGCTTGTTTTTTGCCCCTTTTTGGCCCCTAATTCATAAAATATTGAGGCAATTACCCCCATCATCAATCCCAGCCTTCCCTTTGTGGTATGGTACCTTGCAGTACAATTTCAGAGAGATACATACACTTGAACACAAGTTATTGTCTGGAAACTAGAAAAATGCTTATTTTTGGCCCCTTTTTGGCCCCAAATTCCTTAACGTTTCGGCAATTACCCCCAAACACAATTCCAGCTTTCCCTTTGTGATATGGAACCTTGTAGTACAATTTCAGAAAGATCCATACACTTACACACAAGTTATTGTCATGAAACTAGAAAAATGCTTGTTTTTTTGCCCCTTTTTTGGCCCCTAATTCCTAAAATTTTGAGGCAATTACCCCCAAAATCAATCCCAGCATTCCTTTTGTGATAAGGAACCTTGTGGTACAATGTCAGAGAGATCTATACACTAACACACAAGTTATGTCTGGAAGTTACAAAAATGCTTATTTTTGGCCCCTTTTTGGCCCCTAATTCCTTTACTGTTGGTACAATAACCCCCAAAATCAATCCCAACCTTCCTTTAGTGGTATTGAACCTTGTGGTAAAATTTCATAGAGATCCATTCACTTAAACTAAAGTTAGAGTGCGAAAACCAATGTGTCTTCGGACGACGCCGGACGACGACGTCATACCAATATACGACCACAAAATTTTTTTGCGGTCGTATAAAAATGCCTATATAAGTATTCCTGATGTAGAGGACAAGAGACAATTTTCAGTACTCATCCACTTGCCTTTGGTCTCTGGTACAAAGTTATCTCATTGGCAATCATGCCACATGTACCCATTTTATTATTGTAAAATATTAGGTAGACAGTTGACAAATTTGAATGAAATCAAATCTTAGTAAGCGCAATGTGTGGGAGATTACTTATACATCCCAGTTCCTTCAATGAAATGGTTCTTTTAACTCAATTGCAGAACAGGATATTTTTTTATATTGTTTACTTAAAACACAATATTTCTTTATTTTTATACACTATATTTGGTTGTAAAGCATATTTTGTACCAATTAATATGAAATAAGGTATACCAATTTCCTGATGGAAATTAACATAAATCTTTATCACAGTAATGAAATTTAAGAAGACCATAATCAGTTTTTTTTTTTTGAAAAATAAATGTTTACCCTTTCAAATATTTCCTGTTTTTCACTGTCTTTCCTTCTTCTCTTTATTCTATGGGTCAGTATGTGCCTCAAGATATATATCTTTTAATCTCATCCAAATCACATTGTAATACTTGCTGCTGAACACTGTCCAATTTGAAATAATACTTTTAGCTGCAAAACATTAAAAATAAAGTGAACGGAGACTTACAATGTACCAAAAGTTTGTTAGAAATGTACTAGAAATGGATATAAATTTCTACTAGGAAAGAAATATACTTTCAAACCACAATCTGTAAGTAAGTATTTTACGATAAAAAATGCTTATATCAGTATTCCTGATGTCGAGGACAAGAGACAATTTTCAGTACTCATCCACCTGCCCTTTGGTCTCTGGTACAAAGTTATCTCATTGGCAATCATGCCACAAGTACTCATTTTATTATTGTATAATATTAGGTAGACAGTTGACAAATTTGACTGAAACTAGAGGCTCTCAAGAGCCTGTGTTGCTCGCCTGTATTTACTGATGCTTTGGAAATCATGTAAAATAAGGTTAAAATCATAATTAATAGTATTAGATATTAGATATTATAATGATACCTAAGATAACAAAAAACTGCAAAATTTCTGTAAAATTACTTACTCAGGGCAGCAACCCAACAACGGTTTGTCGGATTCGTCTGAAAATTTGAAGGCAGATAAATCTCAATCTGATGAACATTTTTGTCACCTGTAAGATTTGCTCTAAATGCTTTAGTTTCAGAGATATAAACCAAAAACTGCATTTTACCCCTATGTTCTATTTTTAACCAAGTCAGCCATGATGGTTGGCAGGTGGGGTCATCGGACAAATTTTTCAAACTAGATACCCTAATAATGATTATGGCCAAGTATGGTTAAATTTGTCTCAGTAGTTTCAGAGAAGAAGATTTTTGTAAAAGACAACAAAAATTTACGAAAAATTGACTATAAAGGGCAATAACTCCTAAAGGGGTCAACTGACAATTTTGGTCATGACAACTTATTTGTAGATCTTACTTTGCTGGACATTATTGCTGTTTACAGTTTATCTCTATCTATAATAATATTCAAGATAATAACCAATAAAATGCTCCGCTGGGGCGCAGCTTGATACGACCGCAGAGGTCCAACCCTGAACAGTTGGGGCAAGTATGGACACAACATTCAAGCTTGATACAGCACTGAATTTGGATTGTAATTAAATATTTGACACAGCATAGGTTTCTGGCACAGAATGAAAGTGGTCTAAGAACTTAAAATATTTTAATTTACCTATTCAAACCATATCAGTATTATTTGTTTTTATATATAAATCAGAAAAAACCAATTTAAAATGGAAAATTTTAAAGAAAAATAAAAAGGAAAAAAAAATCCCCCCCCGCCCAAATTTTTTGAACCCCCTTATGATTCATCACCCCCAAACTCAATCCCAGCCTTCCCTTTGTGGTATGGTACCTTGCAGTACAATTTCAGAGAGATCAATACACTTGAACACAAGTTATTGTCTGGAAACTAGAAAAATGCTTGTTTTTTGGCCCCTTTTTGGCCCCAAATTCCTAAACGTTTAGGGCAATTACCCTCAAACTCAAACCCAGCTTTCCCTTTGTGATATGGAACCTTGCAGTACACTTTCATAAAGATCCATACACTTACATACAAGTTATTGTCCTGCAACTAGAAAAATGCTTGTTTTTTTGCCCTTTTATGGCCCCTAATTACTAAAATTTTGAGGGAATTACCCCCAAAATCAATCCCAGCCTTCCCTTTGTGGTATGGTACCTTGCAGTATAATTTCAGAGAGATCCATACACTTGAACACAAGTTATTGTCTGGAAACTAGAAAAATGCTTATTTTTTGCCCCTTGTTGGTCCCTTTTTCCTAAGCTTTTTGGGCAATTATCCCCAAACTCAATTCCAGCTTTCCCTTTGTGATATGGAACCTTGTAGTACAATTTCATAAAGATCCATACACTTACACACAAGTTATTGTCATGAAAATAGAAAAATGCTTGTTTTTTGCCCCTTTTTGGCCCTTAATTCCTAAAATTTGGAGGCAATTACCTCCAAAATCAATCCCAGCATTCCCTTTGTGATATGGAACCTTGTGATACAATGTCAGAGAGATCCATAGACTTACACACCAAGTTATTGTCATGAAACTAGAAAAATGCTTACTTTTGGCCCCTTTTTGGCCCCTAATTCCTTAACTGTTGGTACCATAACCCCCAAAATCAATCCCCACCTTCCTTTTGTGGTATTGAACCTTATGGTAAAATTTCATTGAGATCCATTAACTTAAACTAAAGTTAGAGTGCGAAAACTAATGTGTCTTCGTACGACGACGACGACGACGACGCCAACGTCATACCAATATACGACCACAAAAATTTTTTTGCGGTCGTATAAAAACTGCAAAAATTTCATTAAAATTACCTATTCAGGGGCAGCAACCCAATAACAAGTTGTCCCATTCATCTCAAAATTTCAGGGCATATGGATCTTGACCTGATAAACAATATTACCCCATGTCAGATTTGCTCTAAATGCTTTGGTTTCAGAGATATAAGCCAAAATCTACATTTTACCCCTATGTTCTATATTTAGCCATGGTGGCCATCATGGTTGGTTGGCTGGGTCCCCGGACACATTTTTAAACTAGATACCCCAATGATGATTGTGGCCAAGTTTGGTTAAATTTGTCTCAGTAGTTTCAGAGGAGAATTAAGATTTTTGTAAAAGTTAACGGACTATGGACGCCAGACGCCGGACGCCAAGTGATGAGAAAAGCTCACTTGGCCCTTTGGGCCAGGTGAGCTAAAAACTGCAAAATTTCTGTAAAATTACTAACTCAGGGGCAGCAACCCAACAACAGGTTGTAGGATTCGCCTGAAAATTTCAGGGCAGATAAATCTCAATCTGATGAACATTTTTGCCACCTGTCAGATTTGCTCTAAATGCTTTAGTTTCAGAGATGTAAACCAAAAACTGCATTTTACCCCTTTATTTTATTTTTAACCAAGTTAGCCATGATGGTTGGAAGGTGGGGTATTCGGACAAATTTTTCAAACTAGATACCCTAATAATGATTAAGGCCAAGTATGGTTAACTTTGTCTCAGTAGTTTCAGAGAAGATTTTTGTAAAAGATTACAAAAATTTACAACAAATTGACTATAAAGGGCAATAACTCCTAAAGAGGTCAACTGACAATTTTTGTCATTACGACTTATTTGTAGATCTTACTTTGCTGGACATTATTGCTGTTTACAGTTTATCTCTATCTATAATATTCAAGATAACCAAAAACTGCAAAATTTCCTTAAATTACCAATTTAGGGGCAGCAACCCAACAACAGGTTGTCAGATTTGTCTGAAAATTTCAGGACAGATAGATCTTCATGTGATAATCAGTTTTACCATGTGTCAGATTTACTCTAAATGCTTTGTTTTCAGAGATAAAAGCCAAAATCTACATTTTACCCCTATGTTCTATTTCTAGCCATGGCTGCCATCTTTGCTGGTTGGCAGGGTCATCGGACACATTTTTTAAACTAGATACCCTAATGATGATTTTGGCCAAATTTGGTGGCCCAGTGGTTTCAGAGCAGAAGATTTTTGTAAAAAGCTAACGACGACAGACGACGACGAAGATGGACGCAAACGACAAACGCCAAGTGATGAGAAAAGCAATTTTTCCATTTGTAAAGGGAACTCTAGAACGGTAAAAGTGATGCCACCAAAATTCAAACTTCATCTGTGTTTTGTGGTAATAAGCATTGTGTATAAGTTTCATAATATTTGGTTGAGTCAAACTAAAGTTAGAGAACGTTTCCATTTGTAAAGGGGCATAACTCTAGAACGGTTTAAGTGACGCCACCAAAATTTAAACTTGATCTGTGTTATGTGGTAATAAGCATTGTGTATAAGTTTCATAACATTTGGTTGAGGCAAACTAAAGTTAGAGAACGGAAACCAATTTTGGGAGGTACGGACGGATGGACGTACAGACATACGTACAGACAGACAATGGTAAAACTTAATGCCCCCTCCGCTACGGCGTGGGCATAACAAACTTAACATTGACCAATGACCCATGAAAATGAGGTCAAGGTCAGATGATACCTGCCAGAGAGACATATACACCTAACAATCTTTCCATACAACAAATATAGTTGACCTATTGGTTATAGTTTAAGAAAACAGACCAAAACACAACAAGAGTGCACATGCTGAAATGTCTCGCCT